CAAGACTTGTTCTTCAGGCAGCATCCATCTGCCAGGTCTTTGCACAAAAGCACATCGGCTCTTCTGTAACACACACACAGAAATACAAATGTGCATACTGTCACTCATTGAGGTCCAGTGGTGAGTTCTCTGGTTTCATCTCTCAGAAAGGTGAGAAAAGAGTCAGGTGCAGACACTCCTGTGCATGGCGTTACAGTTAAATGTGTCACACAAACTGTTGGACAAGGTCTGGGTCAGGGCCGCTGCACACCCGTTCAGGTGAGGAACGCTGTCACCCTGTGGCTCGGGGCGGAATCAAATAATCTTCACTATGGGGAAGTACTTATGAGCTGAGAAGTCAAACTCTGGGAGCACCTGAGGATAAAGAAATGTATAGCTGCATTAAGAGAAGCACAATGTAACCAATATGTACACAGTTAGTACTTTTTAAAATATCAACGACTCCTATTTAAATTATCAAATGTATTTGTTTGATTCTTTTGGTTTGTAGCTTAAAAGATCTACGTCGTATTAACTGTAAATGCTGACACAAACACAAACAATAATACAAGTAATGTAAGTAATGTGTTACCTTGGTTTCCTTCTTATGACCTCCAGCCAGTAGTTTCATAACTACAATATTAGGTTTGGCCACCTTCAGTATACGGTTCACCTGTTATCAAAGAGTGATGAGTGATTATAGAACAAGACAAGAAAAAGTGCAGATAAGATATCATTGTATAAAATTGAAAACCACCCCAAGATAATTACATACACCGTTGCTTTTATGCATCGCAGCTACATTATAGAACAGTGTGTTCAAACCAAGGGACAGTCACAGGAGCTAATGATGCTAACGTGTCGATGTTCGGACACAGGCAGCTGGAGCAGATCAGTATCTGTAAGGCCTCACCGTCACTACTTTGAATCTATAAACTGGCCTTCTGCACTCTGTGTGTGCTGCTGGTGCCTTTTGGAGCATCTGTGATGAATTATGTGACTAAAATTATGGCTTGCTGGGTGATAAAATCCATCTAGGAAGTTTGTGTTTCAGTTTTGGTGATTGACAGAGCAGTATTTTACCAATTTACTCATTTGTTTATATGGGCATCTATCTAGCTAGTAGGGCTGGGTATCGTCACTGATTTCTAGAATCGATTCAATTCCGATTCACAAGGTCC